TTATTGTTTACTATGCAGTCTTTGCCAATGCTTCCTGGAATTGTAAAATAAGCAGAAATTTCTGTTTCTAATGCCATTTCTAGTTATTTCAAATTTTCAGGGTGGAAAACAATGATTGTTCAATTGACAAAATGGAAAGCAGTATAAGCTCCTGTTTACCTTCTGTTTAGTAGCAGTGGGTTTGTAAAGCTAGCTAGAGAAAAAGCTGCTTTGTAAGAGAGATCCTATGAATATCTAACCTAGTATAATTTATGCCAGCTGCCCAGAGACACTTGCTGTTACCACGTTATGCTAACAAACATTACAATCCTAAAATACTTTGGTCCAAAATAGCATAACTGCAGATTTCATTAAAAGAGATCTTATTTTGCTACAGCTGAGCATCTGGCCCGGTGAGCAGATTTCATGTTTCCAGTTGGAGTCATTATTTCTTTGGCTGTGGGAAGATACATGCCATGTTTATGCTCACATCAAGAATGTCAGACTCGGTAGCAATGTATATAAACCCTGAGAATTACAGAACATCTTTGTTCTATACAAATATTTTGATGGAGCTATGTGAACTCTTAAAATCCTAGCCTAGTATTCAGTGTGATCAGCATCTTAGCTGAGAAATCTGGAGAAAGCACTGCCAGGATACATGAATTTTCAGAAATTCACATCTGGGGATGGACATCCCAGGTTAGCATTAATAAATGGGGTGGAACGCTGGCTGACTGGTGGGTTGTGACAAAACCAACTATTTTCCTCACCTTTCTAAAAGCTGGCTTCAGTCAGCATCCTCAGTCTGCCAAGTGCAATGAGAAGGGACAAAAAAAGAAACCTAATTGCTATTGAACCTTGATTCCTACAGCAGTGAACGTACAATACACGTTTCCCTGTCAGTGCTGATTTTGTCACCAAATCTGGGCCAGAGGATCTCTACCAGGAGCTCAGGTTGACCCTATTGTTTTCCTGGAAGTAAAGGAAGTTAAAATGTCCTTTGCAATGAAAAAGTTATGTTTAATAGTGTATCTACAATTTATATGCCATTGTAACCTGCGGAAATCCAGATGGTCCATTTGAAGTTTAGAGTCTGGGGAAGGGCAAGGGGGCATCATGCACTTACTGACATTATCACGGGGATTCTCCTTTTATATCTTAAAAAAGAGAAATGGTGGTTTACTTGTGTTTATGGCCACCTGATGGCAGTTTTACAAACTGAATAGATAACCACGCTGAAAGCTTGACAGAGAGGGGCTAGCACAAACTCCTGCATTGCTGCTATTATTCTGTCACAGATATGGTGTTTTTTTTGTTTTTGTTTTTGTTTTTTTTTTTTACAAGTGTTTTAAACTAAGAACTTGCACACACATGTGCTTTGCAAACACACGTGGCCGGGTTTCTTGTATAGGCATATCTGGGTCTGTTTAAAAGCAACAGGCAGGAATGGCAGCTTCCTGTGACCAAACGTCCTTGATTTTGTCTATGACTCATTTGCTTTGGCAGCATCTGGAGCAGTAAACCAGCTCTATGGACACTTCAAGTGATTGATTTGAATTACAGAAAAGGCATGGCAGAGGGGTAGAAAGAGTCAAGTACTGCACCTTGTCTGATTTATGGCTGTGGAGCCAGTGCCCTCTGCAGCAGAAAGTGGAGAGATGAAGATCTACAGCCACCTGCATTATCACCCAAGGAGTGGAGAGCGAGGGTTCGCATTTTATTCTGGCTGGCAGCCACACAAAAAAGGCCTTCTTCCTCTCCTCCTCCCTCATCTCCTCCCTTGCTTTGTATTTTGATGCTGGTTCTGACTTCTGTGAGGCCTGGAGGATGCAAATGATGAAGTCTGGTGGTGCAAACCAGAAAGCCCAGCTCCCCCAAGCTAGCAGTTTCTGCATGATACAGATGCCACATTTCAAAAAAAAGATCACAGTGCATGACATTAAGAGAAATGATCATCTATATAAAGACAAAACCCAGCATATTGTGAATGTTGTTAGTGCATCAAAATCTGCCTTGTACCTGAGGAATTATTGTGTGACCTCCCTCAGCTTCTGTGACAGCAGAGCGGATCAATTTTACCTTAGGGTAAGATTTTGCAGCAAAGTTTGAGACTTTCATATCTTTATTTTTTGCTACTCTCTTCCTGCTGATGGCGTTTAGGGGTTTTGAGGCCCAAAGAAGGCTATTTCTGAGGAAAGGAATGTGCCTCCTTTCAGATGCAGACAAATGTTTGTATTAGTAGAGCAGAAACCTCATAAAATGTTATTTTTAAGATTCAGCTTTTTAATTTTAATTTTATAACTATAAGTATGTGCATGAAATATATAAAATCTCAGACATGCTGAGACTTTAACCCCAATTAAAACGTTTGCTATTTACAAGCTAGATTGCAACTGCCCCGCTCAGCACATCGTGACCAGCCAGAGCTGCAGCAGAGAACTCATCCACTCAGATAAAAACCTAATTGTATAGTGACCATCAGAAAAAGAAAAAAACAAACAAACAAACAAAAAACTTTGCAAACTCTTTGCAAACCCATGCAGAAGATGGAAATAAGCCTGCATGTCAAAATGGTACGGACAACATTGTGTGCATCTGCTTGGGTGTGTGGGTGTGCATGTGTAAAGGGTTGTATTTTCTTGTTAAGTTCAGTGGTGGCAGTGTCTGGCACAATTTGCTTTTTAAAATCCGTGCAGTTAAGTCTCCCATGAGACCAAAACCAGTCATGGTGTTTTTAGGGGGAGATGGTAAAGTCAGGGGGAAATGCATTTGCTGGGTTTTAATGGAGTAGTTTTTCAATCACTTATATCTCAGCAGGCCATAAAAGTGAAAAACAATAGTATTAAGCCACTGCGTGGATCTGCTGTATTACATTGACCCAAATTCTGTCTTTATAAAGCTGAAACAAATGGGATCTCCAATCAGAAATAAATCCTCCGTGTCTGTAATATTTCTCTTTCTCCTTTATTATTTTTTTTTTTTTTTTTGCTGTCTGTGTCTATAAACATGGTTCATAGAACAGCCATTGAGGTAGTTATTAATGCAGAAGAAAGCTGAAGTAGTTTACTGGAAAGCCTGTCTTATAGCAAATGCAAAGCAAAGGTTTAGGTGAATCAATTTGCTGTTATTATTGTGGTCTCCAGCAGAAAGCTCTGTCAATTTAACAGCCACGTTTGATATCACTTTGAAATATTAGCTACTTAATTCTACTGGTTCTGCTGCTGATGATAAACCAGATGTTTAATCATGGACTGTGGTGCAGATTCTTATATGTACTTGTGTGCCAGCTCCTGTTCATTTCTGTAGGAGCTCAGCTTATCTGCTCAACAGTAACCAGAAAATGTGTATGGAGCACTTTGAGCACAAACTGTTGCCATTTTTTTTTTTTTTTTTCATTTTAAACTGTATCTTGTACTAGAGGATCCTTTTCCTTTAAGATTTACACCTAAGACCTGTGGGGTTATCCAAAATAAACAAAAATCTTCCATTGCCTTCCCCACCCTCCTTTTATTTATTTATTTATTTATTTTTCTTTTTGGTTTATTCAGTTAAAAAGAGGCATAGTTAGATCTGCCTTTATGGAATCATCATTGTTGCTTTGTTCTACTGAAAACCATGGAAATGTCACCCCTCAGATCAGCTGAAGATCTGGAATATTTAAGAACACGTTCCAAGGATATAGCAATACCCAAAACTCCAAACAAACTAAAGAGTACATCCTAGACTGATCCCACACCTTAGGTATTGTTTTTATTTTATGGACCTTTTTAATGGGTATTATTAATTAGAAACGAAAGTGTGCTTTTAACTTAAAACATTGATATTGAACTCATTTTAATATTTGAGTTTCAATGAAGATTTTTTGTTTAGAATGTCAAAAAATGTTAAAAATTAACTTGCTATTTTTTCCATTTTGGAAACATTTGTTGCACAAAACATTGCTGTCATTAAAAATAGCCTTCTACGAGCCTTTCAGCCAAGTGTTAGTAAATGTGTTTTCAAATATATTATTAGATTTGAACCATGGTCCCTTAGCGAAAGTTATTTGCAGCAAAGATCTGTGAGAACTTATTGGGATTGGCCTGGGGAGAGGGGATTTTTTTTTCCATGTGTCTTACTTTAGATGTATATAAATGCAGGGCTGAGGCACAGAGTAGACGGCAATTCTTTTTCCTGCTTGCTTTGTCCAGATAGAATATTCCCATATGCTCTGCACAGACAAGGGGTCAAAAAAGAAGTGTGTCAGAAAAAGAAATAAAAAAGTGGGATGTAGAAGATTTGTAAGAGGAGAATACTCATGTGAACGATGACCGTTCCAACTCAAGATAATGTGGGACTTTTGATGCTTGGGATGGTTTTCAGGCCCTGAGCAAGCTGATCTTGCTTCAAAGCTTTGCACAGGGGGTTGGAGTAGATGAGGAATAGAGATCCCTTTACTCCTAAATTATCCTTGTGGCTGTGCAGTTTTGCATCCAAGACAGTGCGGAAATCTTCCAAGAGGAAGATGAACTGCAACATACGATGCACTTGTGAGACTAAGAAAGTTGGAAGAAAGAAAAATACTGTTTGAAACTCAACTTTTTCCCCATCTCCTGGGCCCAAAAGTGCTGACAGTTTTGATTTGGGGGCTTAAATTATATTGCAGCGGCTGTTGAAAACTGCAGACTGAAATGTCAGTGTTGCTGGAATACAATAGCAGTGCGCCAGTAAATATCTCCAGATTTAGCTCTATGTATTCTTTCTTTTATTTAGTATTCCATCAATAACTTTGTCGTACATGCTTTCACACAGATAGTTCTTTTCTTTCAAGGTGGTTTAACTGCCTAGCAACCTTATAAAAATAAACGTCAGTGTTCTGTAGTAACGGCTGAAAACAGTGTGCCTTATATTAGTGTGACTGCAGTATTTTGAGAGGTAATGACTGAAATGCATTCCTCCCCTCCCCCCTCTTTTTTTGTTGGTGCTTTTTTTTTCTTTTATTTTTTTTCCTTTTTTTCTTTTTTTCTTTTTTTTTTTTTTTTGGTCAGAATTCTAAGAAGCAATGTTTTTAAGGACCTAATGAACCCCACTGATAAAGAATCAAATAAAATATGTCCATTAAGTAAATCATCCTACTTAAACGGTGACTTTCGGAAACATCAATAAGAGGTGGGTGTCCACACATTCTGCTTCAAAATGTTGTTTTCTTGCCAGGAGATGTACTAAATTGAAGACTTCTTCAAAAAAAAAAAAAAAAAAAAAAAAAAAAAAAGCATAAACTGCTCTGCATTTATCTCACTCAGCCCCTAGAGATGTGGATGGCTGTTCTACAGTGTGACATGTCTAGTCTTACAGAGATTTAAGTGTGAAACTGCCAACACTTATTACCAATTTCAGGGCTTACTACTCTGAGCAGCTCCACTTAGTAATATCATATTTATTGTTTTCAGGCATAAAAGATGTACTGAGTTGTTTCTAGATGATCAAGCTTGGGTGAAAATCTGGTTTTGCAGAAGTAACTATAGACTGTATGGGAAGATAACTGCTTAATCAGAATCAGAGTCTCACTTAAGTGTATGGTCAAATGAACTTAAAATTAAACACATAATATTCAGGATTTTACTGTGAATCTTGTGATATTGAAGTCTACCACGAGGGAAAAGGTCACCTGTAAATGGAAACTGTCATTTACAATGTTTTATTCTCTCTCTTATGCTTGCAGAAACAAACCTCACAACTGTGACCTGAAAAAGTGACCAAGGGCCTAAGAAGGAAAATGAGCATCATAATCTGAGCCAGCCTTTCAGCTCAGAGGATTGTTGGTTGACATATGGGGCTTTCAACCTCTGTCTCACGGACTGGTTCTCTGTAGCATGCACACTTTCCTTGCACCGATGGCATATCTTTATAGCTATAATTCAATAGAAGCTTTCATGGTCAAGGGAAAGCTTCTTCCTTTTTGGCAGCTGCTTCCTTCCACCAGGGCTGCAGCCTCTTACCCCTGACAGTTGCCAGGCAGTCAGTGAGTTAGACCTTAGAAAAGAGCAGCTCCATCTGTAGACTCCTGAGATGCTGTCATGGAGCAAGCTGTATGTCAAAACTCAATGCTCATTTTTCAGAAAAAGAATGTCAGTATTGGGTCTATAGTAGGCCTCTGTTAGCCTTGCCAGTTAACCATACATTTGCAATCAGAAAGTCAGAAAGCAGTTATGCACTTCTTCCTCATTGACAATGAGACATCTTCCGGGCTTGACAGCCCACTCTCACAGCATTGCTTATGGGATTTCCATGCATTAAAAAATAACTGACCTTGTCAATTACTTAAGGGGCTTTTTGTTTTGTTTGTATACACTATCAAAATAAAGAATTACTGCCCTGCAGATTAGGTGAGCCCTACCATGTCTGTCTAATTGGCAAACCTCCTGCAAGAGACAAACAATATTCTTCTATCAAGCTATTTTTATATTGCAAAGAGAAAAAAAAAAAAAAAAACACAAAAAAACAGCTTATGCTAATAATTAGTATCAATAATAAAGATAGCAAAGGTGAAGTCACCAATGACATATTCTACAGGTACACAATTTTTTCTTTACATAGTGTGCATGATCAAACAGGTTTATATGTGTCTTATCATCAATAGTGTTGATGATAAGAGCTAAGAAAAACAAAGAATTTGTTCATAACTTTGAAACAAAAATGCCTGAAATTAAGCAAAAAAATTCAGGAACTGAACATCTTTAATTGGACCTGAATGTGTACAGATGTCTGTACATTAGCACTTTAATTAGGATCTGGAAGTTACTTCTGAAGGAATTCTCCCAATTATCCCTATTTACCACCCTGTGTTTTGTACCATGGAGCAGTCCATAAATGTGATAACCAAACTCTTTTCAGATGAGCCAAGACACAGCTGCCCAAATACAAACCACACCATGAAACCTGATCATCTTTAAAGAGAGAAAAAAGGAGGCTCAGGGAAGACCTTATTGTGCTTTACAATTACCTTACAGGAGGCTATAGTGAGGTGGGGATTGGTCTCTTCTCCCATGCACTAAGTAATAAGACAAGAGGAGATGGTCTTAAGTTTTGCCAGGGGAAATTCAGGTTGGATATTAGGGAAAAAAATATTCACTGAAATGGCTGTGAAGTATTGGAGCAGACTGCCCAGGGAAGCAGGTGAGTCACCATCCTTGGAGGTCTTCAGAAACCATATAGATGTAGAGCTTGATGATATGGTTTTATGGTGGACTTGGCAGTGCTATGCTAAAGGTTGGACCAGATGGTCTCAGAGGTCCTTTCCAATCTAAATAATTCTATGGTTCTGTTCTGTGATTCTAAAGCCTGACAGACAGCTTGAAATGTCCCTTTTCAGTATCTCTATTCTCATGTCACTCCCTGAGACATCCAATTCAAAATTTGGCCTAAGCTACATACTTGACTCACACAGAAATCCATCCTGATCTTTGGATGTGATCTAAAATGCTTCAGTGAAGTCCTACAAAGAGTCTCATTTATGGAGAATGCTGTTGGTAGATGAGTTAAGTAGGTGTGTGTGTACAGGCCTGTGCATCAAGACTTGTGTTTGGCACTACGTCTATGCTAGCAAATTACACAGAGCCAGGAAATGTCCCTTGGCACTGAAACTCAATTGCCTACCTTGTTAAATTGTTGGAACTGTTGCTGGTATACTTTTACTCAACAATCCCAAGCCATTCCTCATCACAGTTCAGTAAGTAGCACAGGCCAGTAGCCATTCCCAATAAGCAGCCACAATTCCCAATAAGCAGCCACACTTTCCTGGAGAAAAACAGAGTGAGGTAGTTTGGACGGTTTGGTGTAGCCCTTTCAATGCCCATTTGCCTCAGTGCCAGAGGATGGTCCTAAGCACATTTGATTTGTTAGTATAAATCTAGTTTATGTATCCTGATTCCCAGACTTTCACCCCAAGCAAAAGGTCATCTGAGTATTCAGTTCCAAGCTTGACTACTGATACACAAAAAAATCTGAGGAAAAATAGAAATCTAATGCCAGAAAGAGTTAAGCGATGAGATTAAGCCTGATTCTGGAAGTATCACAGTTTGAATATCCAGGACAAACTCATGACTGGAAGATCCATTTTCTGGCCTAGTGACTATTTCATCAATTAAGCTTTATCTTCTCTATTTTCAAGTTATGTTTTTGCACTGTTGCAAAAGGAGAGTGCTGCTGACATGAGAGTTTTGCCCTGGTGTTAGCAGCTGGTCACCAACAGTACCACTCCAAAACGCTAATAAAGTGCCAGTGGCTTGATTCACTTCAGCTGAGATGATGGGAGCTTTGCTATCTTCTGCAATGGGAGCAGCTGTAGGCTTTGTGCAAGCAACAGTTTTGTCTGTTTGTGCCAGTGGTTTGTGTTTGGGCAGCTGTGTCAGGGAGCGTAACATGGGAAAACCCCCAGAATAATGAAATCCCAATTGTGTCATATTTACTGTGTTGGACAGACTACAGAGAAATGTTAGTTCTTCTATCCTGGTGCACTGGCTCAGATTTTAATATTTGTGTTTCTCACTACTGATGATATCAGTACACTATCCACATATGCAGCAGGTAAGGAAGAATGAGGAAAATGAACTGTTATGGTTTTACTAGTTCAGGCACTGATGTGGTCCTTTGGAATCCTTCGGACTTCAGAGGACATTTCCACTAGGTGGTACTTAAAGCTATGTTTCCAGTGCTAAAGAATCTTTGATTTTTTTTTATTTTTTTTTTCTCCTCCTTCTTCTTTCTTTGTCTTTCTCATCAGCTGTTCACAAATCATGAAGTACTCTCTCTAAGCTGAAAAATATCCATTTGGGCTGAAGCCTCTTTGTTCTTTTCATTTCTTCTCCAGTATTATGGATTTTATCCTTTGCAGGGCTTATCTGTTGTCCCAGCTCTTCCATCTCCTAGACATCTTTCTTTACATGTCTGTTATCTGTAGAAGTATTTGTAACCATTAATCTCAGAAACTGGATTTCTGTTATGGGGAGAGCAATCAGAAACAGCAGATCTCCTGCTTGAATTAACTTTATTGCTGACAGATTTCACTATTTTCTTTCTCTACCTGCTCCAAGAGCAGTAAGTCCAAGCTCTCGGACTTGCTTGGAATCAGTCCTGCTTAAATGCCACTGATCTAAATATAGTAGATCAAAATGAAAATGCTGCATAAACAGGACAAAGTAAAGCTGGCTTTGCAAGCTGCCAGACAACCTAAAGGAGGCCTGAGAGTTGTTCTTAACAACAACATTAATTTTATCTTACAATAATTTAACAAGCTTACATAATATGAAGAGAGGTATACAAGTATGTAAATACCAGAGGAGATAGAAAAAGCTTGATGAAAACTTTTTCTGCTAGAGAACATTGTGATTCAAAATGCTTTGCAAATCAGGTTGAGTTTTCAGGAATTCTCTTTTGGAAGAAAACCCAGGGGGAAAATTCTGACCTTATGACATTTGCAGAATCAAGTATTTTAATTTTTCATTTTGCTACAAAGTTTTCTTTCAATATTTTCATTTGGTATTCAAAGTGTTATTTTACAGTGTCTGCTGTGGTAATAATCCACTTCAAAATAGGTTGAAATCTAATAAACATTTCAACAATACCTAGAGCACTTTAGTTTTTTACTGTCTTCACATCATTCTGATACGTGGTCCATGATGCTAACCTTAATCATAGCATCAGTCTCTTGCCATTGCACCGCCCCACTGTGAAATCTCTTTGAAGGGCAGTGAAAATACAAAACAGACTTGTGCATTTTTGCACAATGTCAAGGGTTGCACTTACCTCTGCAATGATTAGCTAAGTCCGATGTTCAGAAGGTTTTCTCTCATTAGTAGAGGGACTGGGCATCAGGATGCTTCATGTTCAACCATAAAACACACAGAAAGGTCAGCTAAATGCCTCCCCACTCCTTTACATGTACATTTCCTTCACCTTGTCAAGGATGTAACTCCATTATCTCTTCTACCTGCCACTTCTGATGGATCAATGCAGACATACTTTAATCTCTCCTGATGAACTCAAAGAGCCCTCAATGTTCCTAGCAGAGGGTTAGGAGGATCTGAGATAATGGCTCCAGGAAGGTTCGCCTGGAAGGTGGCTAGTTAGATGATTCATCTAACCCAACATTAGTTGTCTACTTGCCTGGACTTCCAATATAGTCAATGGTGACTTGATCAATATAGTCCATGGAATTTGGTGTATGATTCATCTGGCGAAATGCAGCTCTCTCTTTTAGGGTGCAATGAATCATGCCACAAATTGCATGAACTCTACTTTCTAGCTCCTTGTTAACTGCAAAGACACCCCGAAGCATCTTGCTTGGAGTTAAAAGTCTAACCTCTGAAATAGTCACGTTTAGTTAAACAGAACCCAGTTCACACCTCTTAAGGGCTCTCATCACTTCTGAATTAACTTTGACAGCTGCATTTGAACATCTGAGTTAGGGAAATCCATGTTTATGTAATCATATTTGAGAACTTTACTAAAATTAAGGTGTCCCTAATGATGCTTAATCCACTTATACTGCTAGGATGGCATAGGTTATGGCTTTTCATGATACAGAACATTGAGGTGTGTTGCAATGCTTTCCCAGTGGTTGTGGGTGAAGTTCTTTATCTTATGGGAGCATCAGAGATGTTATGGAAAGGACTCGATTTAGCCTGAATACATATTGCAAAGTAAATAGGCCTAAGGGATACAGCTACCCCATCTCTGATCTATTCTTATCATCTGGGAGAAAATGCCTTTTTTGGGTGAGATAACAGTGTTCATGGAGGGGAGGAGAGGCAACATCAGAGTTCAGGCAACTTTGTTTTTTCTCTGATGCACTGCTCCATGGGAATAACACTGTTTCTCCTACAAACTCAGATGGAGGCTTGCCTTTAACTTTGTTAGAGTAAATAGAATAATTTAATAATTTCATCCCAGAAGGGTAAAAGACAAAATCTCGCACAAGACAGAGTTGAGGGGTTACAAAATCCTTAACATCAATACTAGGAGATTTCAGTTAGAATCTAACTTTGGAATCAAATTAAACTGAGTATAATTACAGATGTTCTGCTAAAGCCAAGTGATGAATGATCTGTCCAGCTATATAATAAAAGACAAACTTTTCTGTTTCCCACATATTCTTTCTTATAACCTGTGATAAGGAGACTCAGCACAGCTGCCCTAAAAGCTAATCATGCCCTAGGTACCGTATCATCAGAAGCCTCTCGAGTGGAACACAACCTTACTAAGGCTAAATACTTGTTTAAGGTACAAAATGGCCAGTAAGATTTATCAGGGCATTATTAATAAGAGAATGACTAGAAGTTTGAAAAAAAAAGTATAATAACAATAAGAACAACAACAACAATAATAATAACAATTACAACAACAATTACAACAATAACAACAACAATAATAATAATAATAAAAGATTTTCTTGAATATAAAAGAGTCTGGAAAATTATTAATAATGCTCCAATGTAAGGGAAATCACTACAAAACCATTGGGTGGGGACCTGGGCAACCTGATCTAGTGGGTGGCATCCCTGTCCATCCCTGCCCATGGCAGGGATAGAGTTGGATAGGGGGTTGGAAATATTTAAGGTCCCTTCCAACACAAGCCATTCTATGATTCTATGATTCTATGATTCCATGATTACCCTTATAATCCTTTATATGGAATACAATCCATTTTAAGTATATTGTTTATGTGTCCTCTAGATGATACTGCAAGCAGCACACTAAAAGGACTTCAGGATGTGCCTATGTTAGGGCTTAAAAGAGTACATCAGAGATGTTGGTTATATTGCATGTTTCATATTTCGCCTTTCTGTTTAAAAGAAACATCTGCAATGTCCCTCCTGGCACTGCAGATTTAATGCCAACACAGTACAATTTAGTCATATGCTATAGCAGGTGTTTAGCAGATTATTCAGGACATTTGAAGAGAATAAGACCAGGGCTGTTGTCTAGGGGAATGAACAGTCTGATGTGAGAAACTGTTCAGTAGTTCCCAGAAATGGTATGAATATCTTGATACCCTCCACACATGTGTGTAATGCTAACAGAATATAATGAGGTATTCTGCACTGGGAGGACACATCTGGGAATTCCTGAAGAAATCTGCAAATGTTTCTTTTGCCTTTGCAATGTCCTGTCCTCCCACAGTGACCTAGAGAAAGATTTCTAGGACACAGGAATCTCCATTTTCATTGCTGTCTCACCTATCTTTTTTTTTTTTTTTTTTCTTTTTGGAAACTAACCAATTATCTTGCACATAAAATATTCCAGAAAGGTGGAATGAAAAATTAACCCTAGTTATATATTTCATTCTCTTTCAGGGAATAAACCAAGAACTTGAAAGTCATTTCAGCATATAAATCAGCCAATGAGTAAATGAGCCTCTCAAGACTGTATAGATGTGATCAGTATATTAGATAAGTATTCAGAACTGCTTTTGTTCTATTAGATATTATATCATATTATATTGCATTATATTATATATTTTTTTCTATTAGATATTCCCACTGTAAAGGCATGAAGAATATAGGATTTTTTTTACCTGTAGGAAGAATTGCCTAAAGAAAGAAGAATACTAGCAGGATGTGGGAAAAGTACGTCCATACATCTGCCAGAATACCTCCATCACAGTGATCAGCAGGGGCAAACAGCAATCCAAAGGGAAAGTAATCCCTTGGTTATAACTGAAAGAGGCTGAGCATTTTAATACCTTTTTATATTAATTATCATCTTTGGAAATAAGCACAGACATTTTGCATCTTATATTTATTTTATAGCGGATATTTTACCTAGATTGAGCTATTATCTGCCCATGGAGACAGATGAAAACCTTTTCTTCTGTTTAGACTTCCTTTATAGGGTGAATTTCCTGCTAGAGAAGCCTGAAAGACTCAATTAGGTGATTACAATTAGCTGAGCTGAACCATATTCCCAGGTCTCTGCTGGTGTACATCTAGCATGGATTTCTACAGTGAGGATGGGACACTCTCTGTAATGCACAAGAAACAAAACTGTTCCACTGAAAGGAATAAAGAGTGATTCTTTGCCTGATTAGCCTAAAGCCAGCTGATCAGAGATGAAGAAATATGCTCAAATCCTTCTTCTAAATGTGTCAGAGTAGATTTGAGTTGGGGTTTAGTTTCAGCTCAAAGCCTATTTTGTAGGGAACAAAATATTTGCTGAAACTTAAACATATTCCAGGTTCCTCAGAAATATCCCACACTTAGCCACCTCTCAATAAAGTTGTGCAGGGAATGAAGATAAACTTAAAACAGGAGCAGAACTGCCTTCTGCAGCAACATACACCTAACGTGGAAGAGGCTGAGCTGTGTCTCCCCAGGCTGCTTGCTGTCCAGGAAGATATGGGACTGCTTATGCAGCAGCTGGATGTTGTTCTCAAGGATCATACACTAACTGAGGCATGTTGAAGAGGGGCTTCACATTCTCAGAGTTTCTCTCAGCCTATTCATCTCTCTCCTCCCTTTGGAGAGTGTTCCCAGAGCTGCTACTCAGCTTTATTTCCGTAAAGCATTTCCCCATTCCTTTAGACACCTTTCCTTTAAATGTAGACAGTATTCCTCTAAAACTAAGATTCCCTGATGATTTTGTTGTGCCTAGGCCTTGCAAGATAGGCTTTATTTATATTTTTATTTATATTATTTTTTATTTTTTTTTATTTATTTTTTATTTTTATTTATATTAAAAAGCAGTCTATTATTATTATTTTAATAATATTATTATAATTAGCTCTCCTGGAAGTTTTGAAAAACTGTCTTTTCACATTAAAAAATATTGAGAGGAGGTACTATTGACTCCCTGGAGAGACGAGAGACCTTGTAGAGGGATCTAGATACTCCGGAGCACTGGGAACTCAGCAATGGCATGATGTTCAACAAAGGAAAATATCAGGTTCTGCATTTGGGATGGAGTAATGCCAGTCACAGGTACAGACTGGGAGACGGGTGCAGACAGTGGTTGGAGAGCAGCCCTGCAGAAAGGGATCTGGGAGTGCTGGTCGACAGCAGCCTCACCATGACCAGCAGTGTGCCCTGCAGCATTTTGGGATGTGTTAAACACAGCACAGCCAGCTGGTCAAAAGAGGTGATTCTCCCACTATATTGAGTATCGGTGCAGCCTCACCTTTAGGCTGAGGATGGTTGGGTTGTGTACTCTGAGAAAGGGAGGCTGAGAGGTGGCCTTGTTGCTCCCTTCAACTCCTGAGGAGGGAAGTGCAGAGGGAGGTGCCGGTCTCTGCTCCCTTGTAATTGATAACAGAACATGTGGAATAGCCACGTGTCAGGGGAGGTTCATCAGGAAAAATTTCTTTACCGTGAGGGTGGTCAAGCACTGGCACAGGCTTCCTAGAGAGGTAGTTGTTGCTCCATGCCTGCCAGTGTTCAAGAGGCATTGGGATAATGCCCTCATTAATGTGCTTTAACTTTTGTTTTGCCCTGAAGTGATCAGGCAGTTGGGCTAGATGATCTTTGTAGTCCCCTTCCAACTGAACTACTGAGTTCTATAAACTGCTCTGGGTACTCCTGCTTCAGTAGAGGGATTGAAGCTGATGACCTCCAGAGGTCCTTTTCAACC